AACGAGATAAAATAATTAATAGTGCATATGTACATAGACTTATATAAATTGTAAAAATAAAATTGATGAAATTAAAAAAAAAAATAGAAAGAGAGGCAATAAATAAAAGTAGGTGATATAGTGAATATTCTATATATGTAATCAGTTGATAGAAAATCATAAATTGAGATGTCACCATGAGTGATCAAATACACATAGTATTAAGAAGCCAGGAAAATAATCCCTGGATGTGCAAAAATAATAAAATAAATGAAAAATATAAAAAATGAATAAAAAAAGAATAAAAAAATAAAAATAAAATAAAAATAAGAATAAATGAAATTTCTGTGTTATAAAATATAGATTAATAATCTAAAGGAATGGAAGTACAAAGTTCTCAGATGTGCACTGATACAGTAGAATTACAAGTGTTATGAGACCCACACAGGTCCAAGGAAAATATAAAAGATTCCAAATAGAATGATGTTAGGAGTATTATGACCTAATAAAGTCAAAGATGAAAAACATATTATATAATTTATATATGGGGAAGGACCACAATCTAAATGAGATATCCTAACCATTAAAGAGTGGGCAAACCTAATAGAGTGATATCTGGGAAAAGCATATTTAAGAGAACTCAGGAGGAGATATTATAGACTTATGAGGAGTAGACTTATTCCTTGCTATAAGGGGAATTGGATTGATTTTATTATAAAAATGCATTTACTTCAAAATCAATATTAAGTCCTTTTGGCTCTAGAGAGTCTAACTGAAAAATTCACTTTGCCTCTGCTCTGTCTAAGGCTTTTACAAGGTACCCTCATCTCCAATGTAAACAGATTTTTTCCATTGCCATAAAATCAATGAGTGTGGAATTGTCTGAGTGTGGAAATGTCTGAAGAGATTGTGTGTGGGAAAACCTTTCTTAATATTCCTTATATGTTTTCCTAGTCGTTTCTTAAAGGTCCGCTTTGTTCTTCCAATGTTATATCGCTTGCAAGGACACACCAGGGGGTAGATCACTCCAACTGAGTTACAACTAAGACGAGTTGTAATCTTAAAAGTGTCTTCTTGGGAGGCGGAGCTAGCAGCGGAGCAGAGCGGTCGCACTCTCCAAGAGCTCTCCGATACGGACCGCAAACGAAGCCTTATATCAGGCGCAATCCGGAGACTACCCGGGCTCAAACACCCACACCCGGCACAAGACTAGCCATGGGTCGCAAACACAAAAAAACTAGAGCAGATAAAGACCCGGCTACCCACGATATCGGGGAACTGCTCCTACGGTCGCAAAAGGCCGCATGGGACAAGATGGCGGCGGGAGACCACGACTACTCACTCTCCTCCGATGATTTCTCTATAGACCCCAGAGAAGGTATGGCGCAAGCCCCACCACCTAACCCAAAGCGCCCACAAGCAACTGCACCATCACAGCCTCTATTCTCAAGAGCATTCTGGCAGAGCTTAGATCCAATATAGCAGCAGACATGGCCGGTATAAAAGAAGCAGTGGAGGGGGTCACTACCAGGGTACAGCGACTGGAGGCCTCGACTTCCTCCCAAGAGGCAAGGATAGCGTCCCTGGAACAAGCACTAACTGAGGTGCAATCCCAGCAAAGCATAGCAAGCAACCGGGTAAACATCCTTGAGGACCTCAGACGACGCTATAATATCAAGATCCATGGCATACCGGATTCAATAGGCCAGACAGACCTACCGCACTTCATTAGGCGCCTACTGGCCGATCTACTGCCGCCCAAACAAGCAAAAGCTGTGCGACTAGATGGTATGTTCAGACTGCCAAGGCCCGCAACAGCGCCAGCCGCGGCACACACAGACCTAATCCTCCGCTTTCAAAATCTGCAAGACAAAGCCCAGCTGTTGGCAGCCGCGCGGGGGAAAACCCCTCTAACATTCGAGGGAGCCACATTGTCCCTCTTTCCGGACCTAACAAAAAGCACTATGGGTTGGCGCAAGACCATGCAGCCCCTCTTACAACACCTCAGGAACAAGAGCATCCAGTATAAATGGGGAACGCCGAACATGATTACCTTCACGCATCAGGATACCACTTACCGAGCTCGGAGCTACCCTGAACTGGACTCACAACTGCGCACGGCAGGCCTACTGTCACCCCCACAGGAAAGCTCAGACCTCACCCAACTGGACCCAGCTGTGGTCGCTGACTTCATCCCAGGGGCTACCACCCGACCACCGCGCCAGCGAAAGACACCCTGAGGGACAGTGTACCAGGAAGGTTCCTCCCCAATACACCAGAGACTGCCGATAAAGCACTCTCCGGGACAGGGCCTTCAGCCCAAGACGAACCCACACCGCTCTCTTACAAACTTAAACTTAATCAACACCCAAGTTCCTCCTCCCCATATATTTTAGTTTTTTAACAATTGACCCCTTAGCAGTTCACAAAATCTATATAGGTCTCCCAGGAGCAGACTTCATACACCCGAGGCACATTGGCAGCTGTACTCACTGCACCCTATATCGGGTACGCAAGCTCCCACAATCGGAGGCATTACTGACCTCACCTACACCTAACTCACCTCCTCACACGAACATAGAAGACACGGTTAACAACATGTCCATAGTGACAGGAGGGTATCTCTGAGGTAGTACATACACCAATCCTAGGGGACTCCATCCATGTAAAGACCCACCCTCGCACACGGTGGGGGGCTCTCACGGACTCCATGTCACAGACTTCATGCCATAGACACAAAATATGCATCCATAGCTGGTCTAGACACGGGCCCACACGACACAACCCATGTCCAAGACAATCACTAAGTAGACGTACCCACAGACCCCACCAGGTCTTGGACATGCCCGAAACGATAGACGACACCGTAACTACACAATGAATACATAAAAAGTGCTATGTATATATATATGCCGCTACTGTACTAACATATGTTGCAAAGTATGACTACATAAGCTGTTGTGGCTATGTGGACATTATGTTGAACCTGCACAATAAAATAAAGAATTAAAAAAAAAAAAAAAGTGTCTTCTTTATCCATGTGTTTGAATTCCTAAATTGGTGATTTCTGAATTGGATTATTTTTGCAACCCATGCATTTACCACACTTTAAAAAAAACAAAAAAAAAACGGAACTTCCTGATTCAGTATGGTTCTTCCCATTTTACATAGAAACATAGAATGTGACGGCAGATAAGAACCATTCGGCCCATCTAGTCTGCCCAATTTTCTAAATACTTTCATTAGTCCCTAGTCTTATCTTATAGTTAGGATAGCCTTATGCCTATCCCACGCATGCTTAAACTCCTTTACTGTGTTAAGTTGGAGTTAACAAACATTTTCAAGTTCGGTGCTCGAGAATAAACTATTTTAGGTTTATCACCTAGAATTTTGTCCAATAGTGGGCCATTTTTGAAATCTTTCCTCAGGATGTTATTACTTGGAAAGATTGACTGCTGTACTGTGTAATGAAAGATAGAATTTCCATTGTTGATTGTGCCTTTAAATTGGGTTTCAAGGGCGTCTTCCCTAGGTAAGTCTAAGGCTCTGCTTCTGGCTTCTTCCAGTAAATCCTAAGCATATCCCTTCATTAAGAATTGATTTGCATCTCCTCCATTTGGGCTTTACAAATTTCCATCTCTGAACAGTTGCGCCTAATCCTTCTAAACTGGGTGCATGGAATGTTATCAAGCCATGTTTTCTTATGGTGACTGCTGGAGGGAATAAAACTGTTACAAGCTAAAACCTTCAAAAAAAATCTATAGACTGTATCTTTCCTTCCTTGATGTAGATCTCTAGATCCAAAAATTCAACAGCTTCCTTGGATTTATTAAATGTAAATTTAAGATTGTAAGGATTAAAATTGAGGTAGTGTTGAAATCTTTCCAAGGATGATTGGTCACCCTCCCAAATGAAGATACAATCATCAATATACCGTTTCCATAGGATCAGGTTCACACCAAATGGGGAGTTGTTCCAGATAAACTCATCTTCCCATTTGACCATAAATAGGTTCGCATAGCTTGGTGCAAACCTGGTTCCCATGGCAGTTCCCTCCACTTGGAGGAAAAATTAGGCCCAAAAAAATAAATAAAAAAATGATGACTCAGGTGTCGCGGGTGGCGGTCCGAAAAGGGACTATCAGGGCCTGGTGCAGGGTAACCACACACTCCCTGGTGTTGAGCACTAGCGTTTGTGCGGCCACATAACAGGGCCCTGATGCAGCTTCTGCGGATCCCAAGGGCTAGGTGATAATATGCAGACCTCCTAGATCTGGATAGGGAGGCTGTGCAGCAGAAATGTATCCAGTACTAGAAACAAGACAAGACTAGAACAGGCACCAAATAAGAAAACAAGACAAGACTAGAAGAACCCATACCTGGAGCAGGACAGAAAGCAGAAGCCAGAACATGTACGCAATACATGAGGGAAACATTAACAGGACATGGGCAGGACAGGACTGTACATTAACTGGGTATACAAGACAAAATACAAAAAGATAAGAGATGCAAGGCAAAACAAGAGGAGACATAACTAAGTACTATATATGTAATACATTGGAGATTTAGACATACATAAATGGCCAAGATGTATGCAGCCCACCACTGCGCCAAAGTACTGCAATTAATTGTATTCTTGGCAATTTTGATTCAGCATTGCAAATGTGACAGATTCATCTTCATGGAATCAAGTTTCTTGTTAGGAAAATGAAGTTTGCATTGATAATTGAAGATTATGCTAGCATTAGTGAACTTACAATCTTAATTTTAATAATCAAAAGAAAAAACAATTATAAATAGGATGGTGCAAATGGGAGAAGGATCTTAGTACATGCAGCAACCAACAAAAACAAATCCTGGTAAAACGATTTGAACATAACATAACTTACAGTAGTGATGGTGCACAACAACAAAAATCGTATTCACTATGGACCTCTTATAGAGAGTGAAAGTAACCCTGTGTACATGAAATGAGGTGTATACAGAGTGGAAATATAAGTAATTGAAACACAAACAGTGGTTGTGGTAAAACAAAAACAGAAAGAGAGCTCCTAGTGCAGCATAGTAATTCACTTTGCTTTATTTATTTATGTATATATGAATTACTATGCTACACTGGGAGCTCTCTTTCTGTTTTTTTCTCCTTAATAGGTGTCAGTGTGATTTCCATGTTTGCAAGTATACCTACAGATTGTGCTTTGTTTTACTACAACCACTGTTTGTCTTTCAATTACTTATAATATTTCCACTCTGTATACCTCATTTCATGTACACAGGGTTACTTTTACTCTCTGTAAGAGGTCCATAGTGAATATGATTTTTGTTGTTGTTTTAATAATGACAGGAGGCGAGTATTTTGCATTAACTCTCATTACTAACTCCACAGCAGCAAAGACAAATGAAACATTAACCAATCAAAATGCAATAGGGAGTATAGTATTCACAGTAAATAGGCTCCACCCCTTCTTTCAGAAGTGACATCGTAAACAGATAAAGTCCAACGTATAAAAGTCCAGTAACAAGCACCAACGGGTGAACGTCCAATAGAAACGGTGATTCTCATGGGATGAGCAGTAATCCAAGTGGATTCGGTCTGAAAGTGACCCATAATCTAATGAAATTAAACTGAAAAGAGAACGTGAAATAGGTTAGGCACTGGTCTTGAAACTTGTTGCAGCAATGACAGTAAACCATCGATTATTATCAAAGTAATCCTAGCTACGGACTAGATAAACATAAAACTATTAGTCTAACTGTACAATGAGTAAGTGTAATGTACATCACACAAGAGTGGCAGAAAAGAGAAATTCGGGTAGAGATAGAGTAGAGAAGATACAGATCAGTGAAGAAACAGAAGAGTTCTCCTAGAATTCTGAGGTTCCCATCTTCCCAGGGTGGGAAAGGGTGGGAAAATACTTGCTTCTTGTCATTATTAAAATTAAGAGTACACTAACGCTAGCATAATCTTCAATTTTATCACATGACAGGAGGCTTCCTATTTTGAATTTTTTAACTCTGACGTATGAGTGACATGGCGGCGCCTGAGTTCGGATGGAAGAAGAATGTCCGGAATGTGGATTCTCTCGACCAGTCCGCGGAACGCAGAATATCTGATAGGGAAGCACCCACCGAGAAAGCAGAAGACGCTGCCGCCCGCGCACCGAGTGGGCCCCGAAGGAAGCATCCACGCCAGCCAGCGATAGTACCCAACGGACCCATCTGGCGAGTGTAGTGGTCGAGATGGGAAGGTGTGGTCTAACATAAGACTATTAATTGTCCTCAAGTTGAGGCCCGTATAGGTAACGTATCCTCTACATACCGTCGTAGGGTAGAGACGATGCAGAGTTGTGGGTCGGTAGCGAAAAAGGGATAGAAAACCTACGTAGAGTCCGATTTCATACGACGGGACACTCGAAATGTGACTCCCTCCGGGGAGACTGAGAACACGTCTATGTCGAACGCCCAGTCATCCGATACTCTGCGGAATGAGACTAGGCAAACTAAAAACTAAAGTCCAGAATGGCTGATATAGAGGCCATAAACGGGTTGAGATTCCGTTCCACCAAGTGGACCAGCAATTCCAAGCAGAGAGGTAGCATAGTCTGGTTCCTTGTGCCCAAGAGTCCCATAGGAGGTCCCTAGCAGCATGCGATAGTTCGCCGACTTGTCAGGCACCTCGGAAAGAGTCCAAGCCACTAAGGTGAGTCGATTGTCCAGTACCAGTGGGCGGGGGTTCCCCTTCGGATCCGTGAGGATTGTCAGATGTGATGGTAGCAGGAGGGTATCCTTGTATGATAATGCTAGAAGGTCCGAAAACCATGGTTGATTCCTCCATGGGGGGGTGATGAGTAGCAGTGAAGCATGTTGGATCTTCAGGTAATGGATGGTCCTTTCTATCATAGCGAAGGGGGGAAATGCATATGCTCCCGTGGTCGGCCACGGTTGCAGGAATGCGTCTACCGCCTTGCTCTCCGGGTCTGGGAGCCAGCTGAAGTATTCTTTGGCTGTTGTTGTGGGACGCAAACAAATCCAGGTAAAAGGGACCCCACTGTTCCGATATGCTGGTGAATACTTTTGGGTCCAGTCTCCAGTCGCTGTTGTCCTGCCAGTGGCGGGAGAAACAATCTGCCGTGCAGTTGGTCTCCCCTGGCAGATATTCCGCTTTGAGAGCTATGTTGTAGGGTAGGCAGAAATTGAAGATCTCCTTCATTTCTGACAGGAGACGGGAACGGGCTCCGCCCAGGCGGTTGATGTAGCGGACCGCAGAGATGTTGTCCATCCTGAGGAGGATACAGCAATCCGTCTTGTCTCTTGCCCGGGTGCGGATGGCGAAGGATCCCGCAAGGAGTTCTAGGCAATTTATATGCATGTTGAGTTCCTGGGAAGTCCAGGCGCCTCCTGTCGATGTACCTTCGCTTGTCGCGCCCCATCCTCAGAGGCTGGCGTCCAATCCCAGGACGATGTCGGGTGTGTTCCCGAAGATGGCCCGACCATTCCATGCCTCCATGCTGTCCAACCACCATCTGAGCTCGTCCTCGACTTCCTCCGTTATCAGGACCAGTTGGTCGTATGATGGGTTTTGTCAGAGGAAGGAGGCTCTGAGGCGTTGCATCGCACTGTAGTAGAGTGGGCCTGGAAAAATGGCCTGTATGGATGCGGAGAGGAGGCCCACTAGTCAAGCAAGGGCGCGTAGTGGAATGGTGTGGTGCCGTATGATCCTGTGTAGTTCCTTGCGGATGGCAGAGATCTTCGATGTCGGTAATCTCAGAGTGCTTGAAGTGGAATCTATTTTGAATCCTAAGAATTTCACCGTCTGGGCCGGGGCGATGGCAGATTTTTGGTAATTTACCACGAAACCCAGGGATGTCAGGAGATCCGTGGTATATTGCGTGTGTCGTATCAGTCTGGACTTGTCGGAGCAGAACAGCAGGAGATCGTCCAGGTATATAATGCAGCGAATTCCTTGTGCTCGAAGATTAGCAACCACAGGCTTCAGTAACTTGGTGAAGCACCATGGGGCTGAGCTGAGGCCGAAAGGAAGGCATGTGAATTGCCAGGAAAGGCCTTGCCATCGAAATCTTAGGAATTGACGGCAGGAGCGATGGACAGGCACTGATAGGTACGCCTCCTTTAGGTCCAATCTGGTAAACCAGTCTGTCTTGTAGAAGGTCCTGTAGGAGTTGTATGCCTTCCATTTTGAAGTGCCTGTGTTTCACATATTAATTGTGTTGTCTTAGATTTAAGACGGGACGGAAGTCTCCCGTTTTCTTCTTCACCAGGAATATGTTGTTGAAGAAACTCTTGGGATCCGGAGCTAGTTCGATTGTGCCCTTCGAGTATAGTTCCTGTAATTCGCTGTCTATGAGTTTGGTGTCCTCTGAGGAGCAGTTGATGGGACGCGGTGGGTCCATTTGAAGCGGGGGGCCCACGAAGTCGATGACGTAACCGCAAATCATCTGTAGGATCCATACGTCCGTGGAGACGGTTGTACATTCCTGAAAAAACAGAGATGCAACCTGAGGTTTGATGCGGAAGGAAACATTTGTTTAGGTGGTTGCTTACCTGTAGAAAAACATGCTCTGCCCCGGCTATGCAGTCCACGACCTCTGTCTGCTCCTCTGGAGTAGGAGAAGGGTTGCCTGTAACCCACTTCTGGATAGAAGGGTTGGGGTTTTGTAGTGCGGGGGCCTGAAGGCCAAAAGTGGCTGGCTGCATGGCCCCTTTGGCATCCAGCCCGTCCAAAAACACCTGGTTGGGTTATGTCGAAAAACTCTCCTCATCGAGGTTTGAGCTTTTTTTAAGGGCATAAAAACTTTCACGTGCCTGTTTAAATCCTTTAGAAAGGCATCTCCAAATTGTTTGCCCTGTGCCAATAGTCCTAGTTCTTTGGTCCTAGTTCTTTGGTTCCCAATTCCACCAATTTTCCGTCTATCCTGAGTAGTGCTGCTTTGCGCCGCTCGGAGGAGAGGGCGACATTAGTATTACCCACAAAGCAAAAACATTGTTGTGTCCACTCCCGTATGTCATGGGCCCAATTGCGAACCATGGTGGTGTCAAACTGTTCGGCTCTAGCGAGGGCATCGTCTGCTAGGTACATAATTCTGGATAGGGGTCCCATGGAATCCAGCAATTTGTCTTGCATCCCTCTGAACCCCTTTTTCCACACCCTTGCGAGGGTCGTGACCACCCCGAGATATGAAGGTGGTCATGACTTGGTCAAATTCGGGTGTTTCAGTGACATTATCGGGTAGTGAGGGTCGTGGGTATTCTGACCATAGCCGGTTGTGTACGGCCATGTCCAGTGACTTACGGAGCCAGAGGTGCATACATTTGGCTAGATGTTCAAGGGGTGTCCAGTCCCCTGAGCGTGGGTGTCTGATATTACGTGGATCAAACAATCTGTGGCCTGACGGGTCGATGATGGTTTTCCCTTCCTCCTACGGGGTTTCCATGGTGTCAGGTCTCTGGGAGTCTCCCAGGAATGTATTTTGTAAAAATCCGGGTTGTGATCCGGAGTCCAAGCCCCATGCATCTTCATGTGATTCTGATTCCTCTGCTTGCTACTCATCCAATATGGCCAGGGATCTTGTGTGTTCCTCCTCATCTTCTGAGGAGTAATCGTGGTGCGGGGTGGGGGTGGTGAACGTTGTGGACTTATGGCATTTGGCAGGTGTCTTGCCCTTGGTTGGGTTTTGGTGTCCTTTCTCCCCTTTCCAATGGCGTTTGCCAGTGTGGGGTTCTTTTACAGTTTGTGATTCTGAAGCCTCAGAATCGGAGTCTTGATGGAAGTGGTGGGTTTTGGAGGGTTTCCTCTGTTCTGTACTAGAGGACATCATTTTGGAGAGGTCTTTCTCTCCATAGAGGCGGCTTCAGCCTCATTTATCATGGCCTGGAAGTCTGTTCCATTTTAAGGACCAACAGGTGTATTATGGCACAGGGCGTAGGAGGTAGAGGTCAGTAAGACTGTATTCTTTTAGTCACTGCAGTGACTATACTAGTAGTACTAGTCAGACCCCAGCAGGGTACAGTATCTTTGTTCAATTCAGCAGGGTGTGATAGCATGCACGTGTGTAAGCACTATCAAATTAACCCCAGCAGGGTATAAGTAATATTGTGATTTTTTATCTCTGGGTCTCACCCATGAATACAGAGGTAGCCACAGGGCAAACCTCTAATAGCAGCACAAAGGTAATGGGGTGGCACCCCAGAAGGCACAGGGTAATCCCTTTAGTGCCCAGTACAGTGCACAGGTTTTATCCTCACTGACCTCCGTTTATATGCAGGAGCTAGCAGTCTTGCGGACTGGTCGATCGTGGCACTTGCGGAGGTCCAAAATGGCGGCCGTTAGTCTCGCGAGGTGCGAGAACAAAATGGCTGCCGTGGTAATATGGGGACTCGCGGTTATGGAGCCGATAGCTGGCGGCAGTAAAGGGGAAGATAAGGGGAGCCATCAGATGGCGGACGAAAGGGAGGTGAAATCCCCTGAGGGAAAGAGGTTTCGGCTGGAAATAAAAAACAGCTGGGAAAAACGGGTCCGTCCGGGGCGGGAGAGATAGGGAAAGATTACAGAAGTTATAACAAATAAAATAAACAATATAATCAATGTATATATAAAGATAGAAGAAAATAAGACATGAATATAAAGCTAAATATGTAGAATATATGGAAGAGCCAAAAAAAAAAAGCCTCCTGTCATGTGATAAAATTAGCAAAACTACTAAGGAATACTAGAACAGCAGAACTTTATTATTAGAGGGCTAATCAGTGAGATGCTGTTGATGTCTCAAAGAGGCATCATGAAGGTTGATTCCATGGCTGTTCTACTCTACACACTTTAATGTGTTTAACACATCTTTCATGAGTTCTAATGGAGGAATTTTTAGTATGTTTATTAATGTATTTATTTTAGGGTTGAAAGGGTTTTGCCAACCTTTTTATTATTATTAGAATAATGCCCTATTGGCATTACTGTTTTGGTCCCCTCAATAGAAACACTCAAAAAGTGTTTTTAAAAAAAGTTTTACAATAAAGAATTAAAAATAAAAATACGTTTTTCTTACCTTAACCCAGCACGTAGCACCTGCGGCAGTTCGACACATCACAATCTGATGTCAGAGGAGCTGCGTGGAGGGCCAATAAAAGGCTTGTCATAGAGAAGTCTTTGATTGGACCAATTGCTACAACTGCATGTGCTCACTCTGAGTCGGCAAGAAGAGGGGCAAAGGGACGGAGGGAGAGAAGGAAGGGTGGGGAAAAAAAAACCATAGTAAGTGAGGCAGGGTGGACTGCAGAGAAGGAGGGAGGGGAGACGTGAAGCAGATTACGTCTGTCACCAGTGTCAGTGTGTACAAATGTCAGATGTAAAATATGCACAGAATTGACAAATTAGTAGCATGAATGTTTTTTTAAACAATAATTAGGCATTATAATTTAATGCCAAATTAGTTTTGAACACTGCAAAGAAGTCAAACTGCTCTCTAGGCAAAATAGGAAACTAAATCATCATGTATCCAATATATTGTTTGCAGATATACCCAAAACATGCCAAGTCAAGCAGGAACATTTGAATACAAACTTATTTTTAATTGATAGTCAGTTTCCACTGCAATACTAATGTACTCTAAATAATACTCTGTTATACTTATTTACTAATGGAATTTAGTTGGTTACAGCACAGAGTATTAGACCTAACTGTGTGGCAGGATTAAATATAATGCAGGCATTTTGTTCCAGTTATGTGTGTTCTCTAAAAGCACGCTTGAAGCAAAACAGCTGTTGGAGAGAGCAGGAGTGACCTTATACAAGTTTCTTAACTTATTTCATGTTTCAAATGTCACTTTATGTGAAATCACAGTCTGTAATTCTTTTCACAATATATATATATATATATTTATATATATATATATATGTGTGTGTGTGTGTGTACTCACTTTTGTTGCCAACAGTTTAGACATTAATGGCTGTGTGTTGAGTTATTTTGTGGAGACAGCAAATTTACACTGTTATACAGGCTGTACACTTACTACTTTAAATTGTAGCAGAGTGTAATTTCTTCAGTGTTGTCACATGAAAAGATATAATAAAATATTTACAAAAATCTGAGGGATGTACTCACTTTTGTGAGATACTATATATGTGTGTGTGTGTATATATATATAACAAACCACCTATTTTACCGGTAGAATTTTGTCACAGATCATATGGTAACCACAGCCTTCTAGGGTAATCAAAGTCCAGGACAGATCCAACTCAGTTTTTCTGATTAATTTGGTGCAGAATATACAGGTGCATCAAAATAAAATAAACAAAACAAAATTCCTTGCTCTTGTTTGAGCACTTACTAAACACAGTAATCACTAACTGGAATTGGGTGGCTTTCCAACTTACAATAGCAAAATATAGCTGCAAAACACACCATTCCTCTGCCTCTTTCTCCCTCACTCTGCAGCAGGCTGATCCCTTCTTTTAAAAGCCTGCCTGCTAACTGACCAGCTACAGGTGAGTATGAATTAGTTCATATCTCTGGAACTCCTAAGGTATATACACAAGATATGGTTTGGCTGTTCTATAGCAACTAGTGCTATTGGAGCACTGGCACACCCTGCTCTCCAAATGCTCTGCCCCAGGGACCCATACCATGTTTTGCAGGGCATCAGCAATGTATATTGCAAACTTAACATCTCTCCCTGGGGCATTTAACTGAAAACTCGTGTCCTGGCTGTGGAAACATGACTGTAATTTATTTATCAGTTGGCCAATGTGTCTAGACACCCCTTTTCTCTATATCACTTGTCTGTTTCAAATATACAAATAGGGTGAGATGAAATTAGAGCATAATCCAGTTTTATAGACTTAGCACATACATATACAGTAATTCTCTCCATATTGGTCTCTCCAGAAACCATACTGCCTCTCTATATTGTGTAATGAATGCTGCTGTCAGGCTGATTACTTACATTTCTGTCTGTTGTTATATTGGCTTCCTGCGTTCTGTGTCTATAGGATTTAATTAAAAATATTAACACTTACCTTCATAGCTCTCAACAACCCTACCTTCCTCTACATGTCTTCACTAAGCCCTTCTAGGCTGCTCCACAGTTGTTGACTTTCTCTTGTCTGCTGCTTGTACCCATACTGTTAATTCTCACATGCAGGACTACTTGTGGATCAGCCTTTCTCCCTATCAGACTCTCCCTTACTCTTCAATCCTTTATGAAGGCCCCTCTTCAGAATAGCTTATGGAGTCCAAGGGTAACTGTCATTACTCTCTCAACTTAATTAGAGGGTCCATTCTCCACATCACTCTCAATTCCGATACATTTTCACCCTGTGATTTGGTTACTACTACCCTTCGCGCTGTTCTTCATATTGAGTTTTTATATTATAATAATATTATTATTATTGTAAGCTTGTTTATCAAGGGACCTCATTATGGTCACTGTCAAAATTTGTAATAGTTTGTTAGATTTTGTTCCCTTAATGATTTTGTAAAGGGTTACGGAATCCATTGGCGCTATATAAATGCCAATAATAATAATAGTAAGAACACAAATTGTTCTAATTTACATGTTAGTTACATTTTCTAAATCACATTTATTTTTTATTAAATCACCTAAAATTTCTCAGAATAGCTCCGCCTATGGCCCCATTCATACCCTTTCTCCTTTTGAAATGTTGCAAGGGATGATCAACCATCATGACTAGAGGATCAGTCACATTTCATTCCCTCCAAACATTACCTAGGGTTTCTGACCTTCCACTCACCATTATTCCTATTCCATGGTTTTAGTTATAAGAACCAAATAGATTTGCTCTTTCTTTCTATGGCAGAAAGCAGTGATATAAGTGCATGCAGCAACATTACAGAAGATTTGTCATAGCATAAATCCAGAACTTTAGTTAAAGGGTTAATGATGGCTCGTTTTAACTCCACCAGAATGCAAAAGGATAAATCTTCCTTCAATAAAATAAAGGGCACGGACTGTTGGGGAAAAAAAATAAACATTTACAGATGTTGAACACGTGCATGCTCTCCTGGGCTAAATTTCTTGTCAAAAAGTTGTTTATTGTTAAGGGTAATATTAGTAGTGGTTTCTACCAAAGTCATTGCTGGAAAACTGGAAAGTGCTGTACTTTTCCAATATTTACAAAGATACATCTGAAAACGGAGGAAGGAATAAATTACTTTAAATACATTTACTTTCTTGGCACCTTGACCAGTAGGGCACTGTGACAATTTATACATAGATAAATAAGATATATGTTAATGGCCAAAACCTTTATTAAAGGCACACTTTAGCATTAGGAATACAAACCTGCATTTCTAGCACTTTAGTTCCTCTGCTCCTAGTTCCTTATAGGATCCAACCAAGAAATGTGCAATGTCTTATTCACCCCTCTCTATCTCTCTGCATCTTAATTCTCTGTTGTTATCTTCCTATTTTTTCAGGAACCTCTGGGTTACATCTGCAAAAGTAGAGCATGCCGATATTAGTATTTTTCAACCTAGATTGTTTCAGAAAATGTTTTGGCATAGTTATCTGTATCATATATAGTCAACTTCATCTTCAAGTGACCTTATACATTTGATTAATATAATTATGGGGTTATTCACTAAGATTGGACTACAAAATCTGGACATTGTTCACACTATTTCACAATGTCTGGATTTTGCAATTCAAGCCCAAAACGGGTCTGAATTTGGTCTAGCTTTCAGCCACACCAAACACTGCCTGAAGGCTGAAAACCCGGTCCTATTCTCCTACTTTTTCCCCAAGTGAACTATAATCACCCTGGCTCTATACCTTCTCTTCTACCAAACGCTCCAACCTGGCAGTCATTCGGTCACAAATCAGCCGAATGGTCCCCAGTAGCAATTAGCCACCAACCGCCTGGAACTATGGCTCAGACAATCTACTCTTCAGTCCCCGGTCACCTTTTTCCCCTATTTTACCACACCTTCCGACCTGCCAGGAGAGTGCTATTTGGAGGGAAGGTACTATAGACTGATGTACCCAATCTGTCCCTGAGATCCTGGGAGAGCTCTCTTTCATGAGCCAGCAGGAGCCAACAACAATTGACCAGCTGCAAGGATGTTTCTCCTGGAACCATTTTCGGATCGAACTTTGGTATCGACCGGTCAAAACATTACGATGGATTGACCATTTTATTTTATTAAATAGCCCCCTGATTATTTTATTAAATAGCCCCCTAACCATGGGTGAGGGCCAGGGGGTGTTCAGTGACTTGTCCATCTACCATTATTTATTTTAAATTCCTATACCTGATGCCCTGTTAATTTTTACAGCCCCATCCCAATGGGGGAAAATAAAAAATGGTGGGTGGACAGATCACTGTCCACCATTCTGCCCCACCATATGGCAGATGAGTGTATAAGAAGATTTACACATCCCTTATATGTGGTTCTTACTGACTCCCATATGTTTTTTTTATACTGGGTTTAACTTTTTTAATGTGGCAATTGTCTAGCAAGTACTGGCCAGATGCCACTACATTAACCATTGGACCTCCAAAGTATTTGAACTATTTGCTGAAA